GGGCGGCTCCATCACCAGCCGCCCCTACAAAAAATTTGTTCCGTCGCTAAAGATCGTTTTTCACGTAGTGAGCAATACAAAGAACGACTTACAATATGAGACGGACGAAGTTAATAACGATAATATATACTATACATCCAGATCCAGGTGCGCCAAATAAATAAATTTTGTGTAGACATGCATGTAACACAGCTAGTCCAGCTGGACTGGTTACCACTGCAAGGATCCAACCTCTCCGTCGATGTCGAGCACGCACACGGACCTAACGAGGTACGAGACGGCGTCGTCCACCGTGTCGAACTTAGCGATCGAGGTCCGGGGGCAGGGCGCCGTCCTCATGGCCACTTCTCCATCCAGCCATTGAGCCTTTCCTCCAGCTCCTACCTGGTCCATGCCGGGCTCCATGAGCACGTCGTACGTGTCCGACTGGATGTCCGCTCGTCTCCTCCGTGATGCACAACAAATTCTCGGTGGTCGCTCCAACGAGGCCGTGCAAAAGCTCGCGGCACCACCACCACCCAAGGACGCCTTCTTCTGTGACCGCCGGCGGGGCAGAGGCAGCAGCAGTGACCCCCTTCTGCCTGCATTTGAGCTGAGGAGACAAGTCAGGTAGGTGCAGATGACGTGCACTTGAGCACCAAGGAGAAATCGAGAAATCTTGAAGTAGTAGAAAAGGATTAGGCAGTAAGCACCGCTGCCTTGAAAAAGTGGAGTATCAAAGGTGCCGCCGCAGCTGCCCATCCGAGACTCCGAGAGTGGAGATGTCAGCGTTGGCGTGTTGCAGCCCGCAGTCGGCCATTCGAGTAGAGATGCCAGCACCGCAGCTGACCGTGTCCTTGTTGAGGAGGCACCAGCGCTGCTGCCTGCTGCCGTCAGAGTGGAGGAGGCGCTGCTGCCGGCCCTTGGAGTGCATGGAGGAGCTGTTGCTGGCCAAGCGGAACGGGGAGATGCTGGCGCCTCCAGCACTCGATGTAGAGGAGGAGGAGGAGGATTTGCCGCGACGCTTTGTCGTGGCGCCCGTGTCAAGTGGGTCCTGAGATAATTAGGTTTTAGAATCCACACTTGTTTTTTGAGGTGGAGCTTTTGGGGTTCTTCAAACACTCCATCCTTTGGTGACGTTCAGAAAGGAAAACATACAGTAAGCTACTCATAAGACTGATTGGTTTTTTATCTGTCACCCCATCTCAAAAGAACACATTTACATATGTAGTTTTCTAGAGCGCAGCACTATACATCTAATCCCTAGGAAAGCACACATTTGTTGCAGTAAGCTTGCAAAATGTGGTTTACTTGCTTCTCTATACATGGCCTGCATCTTGCTTCTCTGTATATGTCCTGCATGTTAAAAAAAATGATATCATGTGTCAGCAATTTGTTGCTAGATGGAGATAAGAAAGGATGCATATGAAAAAAAAGAAGAAACCTGTAACATCTGGCCCAGTTTGGAAGTTGGCCCATAGTGACCCATGTACATATTAATGAGATGTGTGGAGGATTTAGTTCAACCTTGGTTGTTTAGGTGGGTTAGACCAACATATAATGCTTCTAGAGTCTATCCCACCATCCGCGGGTTAATCCTTTTACGTGAAGCGATGATGAAAGCATAAGTGGGATAGTGGTAGGTGTGGTTCACTCAGTGCGCAGAGAGGATCTGAGCCGTTTGAACTATGGGATGTTACAAATGGTATCAGATCAGACCTTCGTGGCCACGGTGTGTGCGGATTAGGGGCACGGACATGGGGCTCATTGTGCGTGTACGCCCTGCAGGGTGCACGGCATGGCACATGTGCCGGTACTGGACCCACGGTCGCATGTGCTAAGAGTCAATGTTTCTGGTCATCGTTTGCCCGGTTATGGGTGTGTTGGGCCGACGAGGACGTCGGGCCCTTGGGAGGGTGTATGTGACATCTGCCCCGGAAGTTGGCTCATAGTGGGCCATGTGCATGTTAATGAGATGTGTGGAGGGTTTAGTCCCACCCTGGTTATTTAGGGTGGGTTAGACCAACATATAATGCTTCTAGAGTCCATCCCATCATTCCCAGGTTAATCCTTTTACGCGAATTGAGGACGAAAACATAAGTGGGATGATGGTAGCACTACAAGAAATGTGTCGGTTTATGACGTTTATGCCATGACATCTGATCAAAAGGACACTAAATCAATTTGTTTATGACATTTTTTCTGGAGGCATGCAAACTTAGTGACCAAAACAAGTTTGTCATAAAATAGCATCATCAAGCTAGTGCAATTGCATTATGTGACATTTTGCTGTGTCATAAAGGCCGATTTATAAATGTCCTAAATCTATGACCAAGCTTTTGTGGCACAAACTATTTTCCACAAGAGCGTGTGTTATTATTTTTTATTTTTTAGAAGAGCACCGATCCTTAAATCTAGCGAAAAAATATTAATGTTTGATCTTTTTATGTGTTTATAAAATAGTATGCTTGTTTGATCTTTTTTTAGATGCCTGCTGCGGTGCATGAATACACATCAAATAAATTGTGCCAGTATAAGGTTTGAGTACTTCTCCTAGATGCCTACTATCAAAAAATTAACAATATATATATATATATATATATATATATATATATATATACTTGTTTATATGTTGAGTTAAAATAAATAAAAAATAAAAAAAGAAAATAGAATAACGCACGCACACGAGACACCACCCATCGCTTGGACTCCCTAAAAGCGGACCGAACCTATCCTCTTCCCAGCGGTCTCTCTCTCCCTCGGCTCTCTCACTTGCAGAAACACCGCGCACACTCTCTCTCGTTCTTCTCCACGCATGAGCTCTCTCCTTCGGTCCTCCCAAAAGTCAATGCCGACTCCCTCCGCAACCTCCTCCCTTGCGTTGGCCCCGGCTCCTCCATAAGCTGATGCTCCGCGCCCCTGCTCCACTCGCCCTGGGGTCTAGGAAGCTACTCCCTAGCCAGACAGGCTAGGAGCAGCACCGTCGCACAGGCCGGGGTAGCTGGCAACAGCGACGCTGCCCAGATCGGGTTGGCTGGCTGCCGCGCCGCAGCTTTGGCCGGGCGGCCTGAGCTGCATGGCCTCCGCCGCCGCCGGTTGGTACTGGCCACGCCCCTGGTCGGGCTGTGACATCGTCCGTGCTGCACCCTTCCCCTCGCTGCGAGCACTGTAGTTCCAGATCGGGCATGCATCCCGTGGCGGTAGCCCTAACACAACCACCTGGTTATTATAAGGCGACCGCCTCGGTTAATCGATTAACCGAGGCGGTCACGTTGTAAGGCCCGCCTCCAAAAAATAGTGGCCCAGCAGGCAGCCCATGTCGGCGCAACACTCATCATATATATATGAAGAGCTAGGGTTATCCACAGCCATCTCTCAATCCCTCACCCACCGCCGCTGCACACCACTCTCTCTCGTCTCTCGGCTCAGTCCTCACGAGAGAGGAGGCGCTGGTCTCTCTCGCGTCTCTCGCGCATGCATGGCCCGCTCTCTTGCGCATGCATGGCCCACTCTCTCCCTCTCTCTCGTTTATCATCGGCAGGCGCTCCCTCTCTCCTCTCGCGTTGGGCGCTCTCTAGAGGCGGTGGGAGGCACTCGCATCCCGGTGGGCTGCTCGCGCCAGGCTACAGCGGCGGCTCGCGAGTGCGGTGGGTCTGGGCCTCTCGCAACGGCAGGGCCATGCTCGCGCCCGGCGACAGCTAGTCTCTCGCGTCCGGCGGGGTCTCCGACGTCGGCGTGGCGCACGGCTCCCGTCCTCCGACAGTGGCATGGGGCCTTCAGCGGCGGAGCGCAGGGCTGGGCTCGCGGATCCAGCGTCGGGGCTCGCGGATCCGCTAGATCCGGCGTCAGGGCTTGCGGATCTGGCCACCAACAGCGGCGAGGGCGCGGATCCGGTCGCCATCGACGCAGATCCGCAACTAGTGGCGGCGTGGGCGTGGATCCGACCACCAGTGGCGGCACAACGTTCCTGGAAGCGGACTCAACGTTGGGCCTGAGAGTGTTCTTGGCGTGGATCCTGGACTTTTTTTTTGTTTTTTTTATCGATTTACCGAGACGGGCGCTACCATTAACTGATTAACCGAGGCGACCAAGACAACCCCCTCCGTTATTCACGGATTAACAGTGACCTTTCAAAGGAGGCGGTTGCCTTTGCCCGCCTCCATTAAGTTTAGTGTAGTAGTGTATTTTAAATATAATTCAAATGGTTCGCTAGTTTGAACCATTTGTTTTGCACTTATTGCAGATACTAATGCCACTTTTCACCATCCGTGTGACATGCATGGGGCCATACCGATCCCCGGGTCATATCTCCGGCAGAAAAATGAGAAAACATTGATCATGAAGATTTTTTACCAATTCGTTCTGATCCTTTTGGGCTAGTGATTCAAAATTCCATTGGATAGAGTTCGTAAAGATGAATTTTCAGTATGATTAAATTGTCTCCGTGTCCTTGTTTCAATCTAAATACCCTATTTTGATTGGCTGAACTCACTGCATTTGCAAATATGAAGGTGTGAATCACTTAGCCAATTAATTTAATCTTGTATGCTTATGTTTTCGAAAAAAAATCTTGTATGCTTATGTTTTTATCAGCAAAATCCATCTATATATACTCAGAATAAACATATGATAATTAATAGGTATGTTCCGGCCAAGATTTTGGGATTCAGTCCGAAATGATCCAATTTTGGCTAACTAAATCTGAACATTTTGATTGGTCAAAGTAAGTGAATCCTAGTCCAAAATTACCAAAATTTCCAAGATTCACCCATTTCGGTCAGGTCCAAGTTTTTTTTGTCATTTGAATCCCAAAACCCTGATTCCAGCAAGCAAACATGCGCTGGAGAAAGCAATTATTACAGAATACTTAGAAAAATTGCATTAACATACATCATCATAAGTAAACAAGTTTGAAAGTAGTATTTGTCTATGCAATCCTCAATAAGATTGCACTAGGGAGAACAAAAAGATAAGACATATGATACCTGCGCAACTTGATGGAAGCTAAGATCCTGTGGTCATCAGTCATTTTTATCCGTGTGAATCTCCTGCAGAATCACAACTAGCGCCGCAATGAACACGTAGTCGACATTTGGAAATACGGTGAGACTGAAACAGTCTGTTCCCAACACCATGCTTGTGGCGGTATGCTCACGGTGCATCTGCAGAACCAGATGGTACGCTTAATGTCAAAAATTTTCTATGAAGCTGCATTCGAAGGATGATCAGATGCAGAACTGAGTCAACTGACTTTTTGTACTCACTTTAGCAATCAAAGTGTTGGAGTTACCAAGATAGAAAGAGCATGATCTCTCATTGAAGCTACCCTTCATCATGAAATCACAGACCTCATGTGAAGTGTTGGAAGCCAAGTAGATATACATCTCTGTTTTGAACAGTTGGAGGATTGAAGATTTCTTGGCAGTGAAGAGCAAATCGCTTGATCTCGTGCTATCCCCTCTATACGCTTCCCATGTGTTGTGCATGCTAATTACCTGGCAATGTTACCATTGTTTAGTGATGCTGAATTGGTAGTACGTACCTTGTCAATTGAAATCTTTACCATGTTTGCTGTAGTGGCGATTAATATGAACAGATGAAATATAGAGCCATTATTTTCTAAAAAAAAGAGATGAAATATAGAGCTGTGGCGACAAAATTCGGAACTTGAAATGCATTGTTCTCTTTCTATATAAGAGCCACATATCCATCGACCTTTGCTTGCATGATCTGTTTAATTCATTTACCTTCTCCCGCAGGCAGAGGAGGGGATTGCCGGCGGCGTCGAGGAGGAGGCGACGGTTGTGGATGCTGATCAAGGCGCCCTTGACTGTGACCACCACGGCGCCGTTGGTGTCGGTGATGGCGAAGTCACCCTCCCGGAGGCTAAATTTCTCCTTCACCGATAGTTGCACTACGTAGGGCGCGCAGAAATGCGGGGCCACCACCGCCACCGGGGCCACGACTCCTCCGCTGGGCTCCAGAATCGAGGCGCTGCCATCAAGGATCGTCTCGCTGCTACAGAATGCTTGCTCGGATGATTCGAACCGGAGCTTCAGGTGACCCTTATCTAGTATCTACCTACATTCACAAAAGGAGAAGCTGAGGGACCGCTACACGTACAGAGCTTGCTGCCAACACAAACAAAGGAATGCACGGTGGGCCATTGCCAACCACCGCAAAGTGAGCTGATCCACACAACAGACGTTACTCTATTTTAAACAGATACCCACAGGAATTTACTCTGAGCCTCAGAAAAGATTTACCGAGAAGGATTTATTTTTGGTGGGGTCTGTTGAGATTTATCTACAATAAATTACACTTCCAGCGAAACATAGACAAATAGTTCTCTAAGAAAGATAGTGCAATAAATGACGGTAATGCTCACGACTGGCCGTCCGTTAGTCCGGAGAGGCCGCATTTCCTGGGGCAGTGCAGCGGTCTGGCCCAAGATGCAACCGGCCTGCTCCTCTCTATGCTCTACCGATCTCTCTATTCTCTAGTCAGCATGCTACGATAGAAATTCCCCACTTGCTTCGGCCGTTGCAGTTTCATGGTTGCGTCTGCCTGCCCTACTCCGCTGCGCTGCGCCGCCGCTGCCATCCCTCGTGGTGCCTCCATCCTATGCCGTACCCACTCCAGCATGCTGCCGCTGCCATGTCCCGCTGTGCCCCCATCCCCCACGGCGCCTCTGTCCCCCGCCGCGCCATGCTGTGCCCCATCGTCCGCCGCGCCCAGGCTAGGCGGCCAAGAGAGAAGACCATCGCGGACTGGACCTAGGCCAGGCGCAAGCGCAGCTGACCACTGCTAGGACGCGGCACCATCCTCTGCCACTGGCTGACTGGACCCATTCGTTCCCCGCTCTGCTCTGTGTCGCACGGAAGAAGAAGGGTGAAAAACGGATATTGCAAACATATGTTTCAAGTATTTTAGAGGTATGTTGCAAGTGTTTTGTATCAGTGTTGCAAAATTAGATCGGGATGTTGCAAAAGTAGATCGAGATGTTGTACATGTTGCAATGGTTATACATGTATGTTTCAAATCTATGTTCTAAATATTTCATCTGTATCAGACATATGTTGCAAGCCTACATTAACTGGTCATACACAGGTTGATCCCATCTTCAAGTGGTTGTGGAAAACTTCATGTCAAAGCAAGCACAAGGTGTTCTTTTGGCTGGTCCTGAAAGATAGATTGAGCACAAGAAACATGTTAAGAAGAAGAAGAATGCATTTAGAGGATTACAATTGTGTACTCTGTTAGCAAACCTCTTGAGAAACTGTTAGGAATTTAGCCATTTTCATGTTAAATTTAATCCAGAAAATACATAGCAAATTGGTGACAACATGTATGTGCACATGAATGATATTACTACTTGCACTAGTAGCAGATATGGACATGAACGACATACAGATCGTAGCAGAAAAGATATTGAGTTTAAGAAATTCAAGAATAGAATTATACTCAGTGGAGGGACCCATGCTCACGGCACCAGTGGCTCCATGCGCAATAGTCGACATAGTGCGCTGCTCGATGTCGCAGACCATAGTCGATACAGGACGATGTTCGCAGTGCAGTCCCTCGAACATCCATCGGGAAGTACACGATCCGAGGAAGATGAAGAAGACGTCGGAGTCACCAGGAAGAAGACGCTCCCCAAAAACCTAATCGCCCGCACGCCCGAGCAGGTGTCGCTTGATGGACGGCGGTTCTGGAGGCCTGCTCTCCCAACTCTCTGTGCGCGCAGAGGAGTGGGACGAGAATGACAGAGAGCAGCACAACAACAACGTGGTGGTGTTCTTGGCTATGTGTTCTTCCCTCGTGAACAAGAGAAGCAATCCCCCTTTTATGTAGCAACAAACAAAGATGAAGAGCCAGGCGCATGAAGAGATAGCAGTCACATAGCGCGTCCGTTACTAGTAACTTATGAAACCGACAATTCAATTGTCTGTTACTAACAACAGAAACAGTAAGACATCATGACCCACTAGCATATAATGGTCGTCATGCACTTGACACTCATCAAGAAGTCAGTTACATTAGCGGCATAAAGGACCATGCTTGTTACACCCAACATTAACCATAATCTTGGAATTATTCTTTGATTTAATTATTGAATAAAAATGGAACAGGTCCAATTAAAATCCAACAATCTCCGCCAAATTCCAAGACATAGAAAAATGTTCTCAGCTGCTAATGTTTGATATACCAGTTTTTCAATGGATACTGTTAAGTTGAACATCCATCTAGAACAAAGGTTATACTTCTTCACAACTGAACAATGGACTATGCCTTGAATTGATAGTTTTGTGCGAAATAAGTTTCACCTAAGTCCTTTACTGATACAAGGCTGCCTAAAGCATCCCCTCTGGTTGGAGCATATAAGTCAAACTCCTAGGCCTTTCATGAGTATCTAGAGATCACCCAAATCTTATAGACTATGACTAGCAGTCGAACTTATATAGGTGTGTTCCTCAAACGATGTTCTATATGACAACATCTTTGCTTCAGCGAGCCACTTGGAACACATTAAGGTAAAAACCAACATACCTTATAGCAAAGGAAACACATGCATTTGACATGGGCCAAGTTAAGGGTCTTTCCTCATAGTCTACCCCTGTGTTGTTTCACCATCCTACTTCATGGGATCTCCGATCACATAGAACAGGTTACCACCATGGTAGACTTCATGTGGGTCTCAGGCCCATCTCACTCGATGCACTATCTATCACATTACGTGATAGTTTCTTAGTGAATTGATCTGCCAAATTTTTAGACGTATGGACATAGTCCAACGCTATCACTCCGGAGTTTCTCAATTTTCTGACAGTTTTTAGCTGCCTCTTAACATGCCTTATGGACTTCATGTTATCCTTAGAACTGTTTACCTTGATTATCACAGTTCATAAAAATAGCCGGTATAGGTTTTTCTACTACTGATAAATCCATAAGGAGTTCACGAAGCCACTCAGCCTCAACGCCGACGGTGTCTAATGCTGAGTTCTGCTTCCATGGTTGACCTCGTTAAGATGGTATGCTTGCAAGACTTCCAAGAAACACCACCACCTCCAAGCAGAAACACATCCACATGTGGCATGAACCTCATCAGCATCAGATATCCAGTTCGCATCACAATAACCCTCTAGTACCTTTGGGTACCCAGTATAGTGAATGCCATAGCTTATAGTACCTCTCAGGTAGCGCATTATTTTCTCAAGAGCACACCAATGACTATCTCCCGGATTTAATACAAACCGTCTTAGTTTGCTCATAGTAAACGAGATATCAGGCCTTGTAACACTAGACAGATACATAAGCAAACCAATAATTTGGGAGTATCTCAATTGATCCCTTGCTATTATCTGATTTAACCTTTTCTTCTCCCATTCCTTGAATGGTGTGATTTCTTTATTCTTTGTAGGAAATCTATTCAGGACATGACACGCTGTCAAAATAGCCTCACCCTACCATTCCTTAGATAGTCCCGCTGTCTCCAACATGGCGTTAATCAACTCAGTTAGAGTGTGGTTCTTTCTTTCGGCAATCCCATTGGATTGTGGTGAATATGACGGTGTCCTCTCATGAATAATTCCATGTTCTACACAGAATTCAGAAAATTCACTTGAAAAGTATTCTCCCTCACGATCAGACCTCAACCATTTAATTTTCCTCTCAAATTGATTTTCTACTTCAGCTTTATAGGTCTTAAAATAATGTAACGCTTCATGTTTTGATTTTAGCAAGTACACATAGCAAAATCTAGTACAATCATCTATAAATGTCATGAAGTATCTTTTGCCACCTTTAGTCAATTCGCCATTCATCTCACAGAACTAGTTCTAATGGCACCAAGTTTCTCGCCTCGGCAGCCTTATGAGGCTTGCGAGGTTGCTTAGATTGCACACACACATGACACTTAGAACCTTTGACTAAATTAAATTTTGGGATTAAATTTAGATTTGCTAGCCACGATAGGCAACCAAAATTAACGTGACAAAGCCGTGAATACCAAATATTTGACTCATCAGGGATAATAGCATTGTTCACAACCTTATTACACACATCATTATGCAAAGATAAGCGGAACAAGCCTCCGTAATCATAACCTTTACCAACAAATGTTCTATATTTCGACACTACACATTTATTAGCCTCAAAGATAATTTTATAACAATCTCGACACAGTTGAGAGCCACTAACTAGATTCTTTTTGATGGAGGGGACATGCTGCACATTCTTCAACAACACCGTCTTTCCCTAAGTGAACTTTATAATGACCATACCAACACCAAGAATACACGCATGGGACCCATTCCCCATCAGCAAGGCTCCAGTCTCGCTGGCCTTATAAGAAGAAAATAAAGAAGCATTAGCACATACATTTATGTTAGCCCCAGTATCCATCCACCACACAGGCGAATGACAGACTGAAAGAACAGTAGGTAAAGAATTTCCATATCTAGATGTTCCTTCTTCAGCCTCACTAACAACCATGATTGTAGCTTTCTCTTCTTGCTTGAATTTGCGGTCTAGACACGCACTTGCCTAGTGCTCATTGCTCCCGCAAACAAAGCAACCACCTTTTTTGTTTGTTTTCATCTTAAAAGTGGTTGTTTGATTTGGCTTCGAGTTGTTCTCTTGCTTGTTCTTCTTTTTCTTGTTACAATATGCATTGTTGTTTTTCCTCTACACCATATTGGCTGCAGAAGACTCAACTCCTTTTTCATCTGTGTCTTTTGCTCTCGCCCTCTCCTCAACATCAAGAGACCCAAGAAGCTCAGCAACGCTAAACTCTTGTATCTTGTGTTTAATAGAAGTAGAGAAATCCTTCCAAGAAGATGGCAGCTTAGCGATTATACCGTCGACCACAAACTTATCAGGCAACACACAAGGAAATTGTTCGAGTTCCTTAGCCAACGCCTGTATCTCATGAGCCTGTTCCACTACTGAATGGTTATCAACCATTTTATAGTCATACAACTGCTCCATGATGTACAGCTCACTACCAGCATTGGAAACACCGAACTGAGCATCAAGTGCATCCCATAACTCTTTTCCTATCACGCATATGATGTACTTGTCCTCGTATTTGCTATGAAGTGCACTAATCACAACGCCTCGAAACAGGTTATCGATCGCCGTGAACTTTTCTTCATCCTCAGTAGCAAGTTGTTCGGGCTTCCCCTGTGCGACGTGATAGCAGTTCATAGCAGTCAACCATAGGACCATCTTAGCATGCCATCTCTTGTAATTTGTGCCATCCAAATCATTCGGTTTCAGTGCAGCAGCAAAACCACCAACAAAAAATTGCCTAATATCAGGTTTTTGGATTGTTAGGAATTTAGGCATTTTCATGTTAAATTTAATCTAGAAAATCCATAGCAAATTGGTGACAACATGTATGTGCACATTGAAAGGTCTCTAGTTTGGTTTTGGTAATTGAGTCACAACCTAGGTGGACTAATATGTTTAAATGTGAGATACACATGTGATTAGTCCACAGAAACACTTGTGTAAGCAACACATGCCATGGAGGTGGAAATGGCTTGGATATGTTGCAAGGCTCACACATGTGATGAAGGAGCTCATTGCATATGAGACATGACATTGAGTCATGTGACTAAGGTGGAGAAGATCAAGACAAGACTTGGCTTGATGGACTAGTTGCAAGCATGAAGGGCAAGTTGGAGGCTTTGGAGCGATGGACCGCGTGGCGGTGAAGCTTGAGCAAGACTTGGTGCCGATGGACGAAGGCAACGGTGAA